TAATCGTAGTAGCCGCGATGATGAAAACAGTTCAAGTCCTGGTAGTAGTAGTCGTAGTAGTAGTAGTAGTAGTAGTAGTAGTAGTAGTAGTAGTAGTAGTAGTAGTAGTAGTAGTAGTACTGGTAGTGTGGTCGTAGTACTAGCGGTGGTAGGGGTAGAAATAATCATAGAAGTAGTTGTAGAAGTAGTAGTAGTAGTCGTCGTCGTAGTCGTAGTGATACGATTCGTAGTAATACGAATCGTAATAGTAGCAGCAGTGGTAGTGGTAGTGGTAGTAGTAGTAGTAGTAGTAGTAGTAGTAGTAGTAGTAGTAGTAGTCGTCGTCGCAGTGAAAATACTAGGAATAGTAAGAGTAGTCGTCGTGGTGGTTGCGGTAGTAGTAGCAGTAGTAGTAGTAGTAGTAGTAGTAGTAGTAGTAGTAGTAGTAGTAGTAGTAGTAGTAGTAGTAGTAGTAGTAGTAGTAGTAGTAGTAGTAGTAGTAGTAGTAGTAGTAGTAGTAGTAGTAGTAGTAGTAGTAGTAGTAGTAGTAGTAGTAGTAGTAGTCGTAGTAGTAGTAGTAGTAGTAGTAGTAGTAGTAGTAGTAGTAGTAGTAGTAGTAGTAGTAGCCGCACGCCTGCGCACACCACCGCGCTTGCGTGCACCGCATTATCTGTATGAGCTCGCCCTGCGTGCACCCCGATGCCAATGTGCACCACAACGTTTCTGTACACCACCTGTTGCCGCGGCAACAGCGGCAACAACCGTGTGCCCCACGAGGCCCCCGTGTCTGCGTGCACCTCTCGGGGCCTCCGGGCCACGTCGGTCGTCGTCCTCGTCCTCCTCCTCCTCCTCCTCCTCCTCCCCCTTCTTCACCTCCTCTCCTCCTCCTCCTCCCCCTCGTCTTCCACCTCCTCCTCCTCCCTCCTCCTCCTGCCCCTCCTCTTCGTCGTCCTCCTCGTCCTCCTTCTCCTCCTCCTCCTCCTCCTCCTCCTCTTCCTATCCCTCCTCACCTCCTACTCAGCTCCTCCTCCCTCGTCCTCTTCCTCCTCCTCCTCCTCTTCTTCCTCCTCCTCCTGCTGCTGCCGCTGCTACTCCTGCTGCTGCTGCTCCTGCCACCTCCTCTAGCGGAAACTGCACGCGTTCACGCCTGTAGCCGGTTTCCCCGCGACACCGTTAATTACGTGTGGGGGGAGGGTAACACGAGTTACGTCCGGAAGTAATAAAATAATGATCTCCCTCGCCCTCCTCCGCGACGGGCAAGGCCACGTTGCCGAAGTGGCTCTCGTCCTCTGGCTCTAGAGCGGGCAACGTCGGAACCGCTCAGCACAGACGCGTTCCGAGTTGTGCCCCTCTGCGCGGCAGATGCAGTGGAGAAGCGGAAACCACGGCTCCCGCGCGCATGTAGGGCAACGTTCCGTCTGAGCACATCAAGATGCTCCGGGGCCTGCTCGGCCAGAAAGGCGGGAAAGGCGGGGACGACCGCGAGGATCCTGTCCCAGAGCTCGCCGTTGCCGAACAGTTCGGCGAGCGAGGGCTGCATCTCCTTGACCTGGAGACATAAACGCTGCAACTCGTCCGACAACTTCCTGATCGCCCTATCCGCGCTCTTATTGGCCCACTTGCGCCGCACCTGGCGCTCGGCCGCTGTACGGCGGGGCCCTTGGCATGCATCGCCCGTGCCATCCCGTAGAACCGTAGAACCATCTCCTCGGACAGCCGGCCCCAGACTCCATATGCCGCATGGGAGAATGGCGCACCAGGAGGAGGAGGAGGAGGAGGAGGAGGAGGAGGCGGAGGGGGAGGAGGCGGAGCGAGGAGCAAGGAGGAGGAGGAGGAGAAGGAGGAGGAGGAGTAGGAGGAGGAGGACGAGGAGGAGCGAGGGGAAACGATGAGGAGCGAGGAGGAGGGGCAAGGAGGAGCGAGGGGGAGCGAGCAGCGACGGGGGTGGGATGGGCCGACCTCTGGTGCGATTGTTCCGAGGCGCCCCCGAGGGTTTGGAGAGGAGGGCGCCGAAGACGCTGAGGGCCGAGGGGCCGCCGAGGGAGCGTCGAGCATGGGGGCCCACCGGGAGGAACTCCGAAGGTCCGCGGAGGTCCCCCAGTGTCCTCCGCGGAAGCCCCGAAGCAACACCACACACGCCCGAAGTTCGCGCTCATCGCTTCTCGGTCCTCCCGCCCTCGCCTGGCCGAATTCCGCTCGAAAGCCGTCCCGCGACCCACCGTCCTGGCCAGCTTTCGGAGATGCGTCCAGCCGCGGACAAGAAAACCTCCAGCAAAGCACAAGAGCCCACGAATCCAATGCGTCGCCGCGCCTCGATTTTCTAATATTGAGAACATCCGAAGCACAAGCGACCTCCGAACATCTCCGGTAACCTCCGCTGGCCTCCTCGCGTGCCAACGGAAAAGGCCGAAAGCTATGCCAATTCACATTAATTTATGACGACCAAAATCAAAGTATGATAATCAACATCAAGATGTCAAGGTATGGCAGGCAAGGTCAGGTTACGACCATCAAGCTGTATGACACTTGAGATCTGACAGATCAATGCTGACCATTAATAGAAGAGGAGACGATCAGATCACGTCCTAGCGTCGCGTCCCTCCTTTGCAGGACTCGCCTCAGCCAAATTGAAAACGTACCGACGATCTGCACGCAAGAGGGTGTGAGAGTCGGAGCACTGCCCCAACACCACTTTGGACGCCCGAATGTGGCGATACCGAGAAGCATAAAACGTGGTCCAAAACCGACGTCCGCTGCGAAGCTGGCGGCCTTCTATCTCAGAAGGACAACGTCCGCAGCGACGCCGACAGCGAAACCTGATCAGCATGGACAGGACCTGCAGCTGGCCTCTGTACCTATTGCTTCCGTGCCCAATTCGGCCCGACCCCAAGGGGATGCACAGAGACAAACTAATACTATATGTCCTCCTTGGAGGCGCGTGGGACCCGAACATTATACCCATGTTGTAGTACATCGTTTCCCGAGCGGTGCGGTCAGGAAGCGTCCGCCACGACGCATACACTGTGAGACTTCTCGGTGCGCGCGTCGCCCCGGAGGGGGGGCGACGCACATATCGTAGAAGTATGTCGGTGTGACGCCGACCCTAAAAGAGGAACACAAGCACATAACATAAACTGTTGGCCCTCCGCGCGGATTTCTTGGATTCGCGCTGGACCCCCCTCCCTGGCGCGCGGAACGCGCCAGGGGCGGCGCCGGAGGCGCCGCCGGGGGGGCCCATGCGCGGATCAAGAAATCTGCGCGGAGCGCCAAAAGTTTATGTTTATGTGTTTTTGTTCTTCTTCTGATGTTGAGGTGACGCCACGGGCTCCTCTGCCCCCGAGGCCCGCTGCCCCGAGGCCCGCGGCGGCGGCCGGCTGCTGCTGCCAGGGCGGGGCCGGCAGTGGGCGCCCGAGGGACCTCTTGCGGGCGGAGCGGCGCGGGCCGCGCCCCTCGGCGGCCCCTCGGCGGCCCATCGGCGTGCCTCGGCGGCCCCTCGGCGCCCCCTCGGCGGCCCCTCGGCGGCCCTCGGCGGCCCTCGGGAGCCCCTCGGCGGCCCGTCGGCGGCCCTCGGCGGCCCCTCGGCGGCCCATCGGCGTGCCTCGGCGGCCCTCGGGAGCCCCTCGGCGGCCCCTCGAAGCGGCTCAGAGGGCGGCGGCGGCGTTCTCGACGTCGTCGGTCCTCGTCCTCGTCGTCGACGTCGCCCTCGTCCTCCTCGTCCTCCTTCGCCACCATCGATTGGGGGCACCTTTTCAGAACCCCCGTCCGCCACGGACGGACGGCTGTGCGAGGCCTTCGTTCTAGCAGCAGCCTCCCTCCTCCCTCCTCCCTCCGAGGCCTCCCGCGCTCTCTCTGCTTCTCCTGTCCTCCCTCGCACGCTCTCGCGCACGCGGGGTCCTCTGACGAGGGAGGAGGGGACATCGAGGGGCCCGGAGGGGAGCAGGACCCAGGAGGATCCTCTGGGACCTCCGAAGACACGCGGAGGCCCCCGCTGAGAACCCAGTCCTCAGACGCCGCGCTTTGTCGATCCAGGCGATGTGTCATGGGTTTAGGCTTTCGGCCCCACGGGGTCCGTCTCGAGGCCCTGCAGTCAGAAAGCTCTCCAGGACATACACACGCACACACATCGTGTCCCAGGGACACTATCGAGAACTGCATGGCCCACGGACTGAAGCAACATGTGTGCAACAAGTCTGGGGGGGAGAAGATGAGTCCAGCAAGGCAGCTGGAATAAGAAGAGGTGAAGAAGGAACGCGAGAAGGGCTAGAGGAACAGGCATGGAAGGACGTGAGGAACGTTTTGCCCCTTCCGAGCGCAGGCCGTTCCTGATTTCGGCGTCTTGACTGTCCAGGCGTCGCCCTGACCAGGAAGTCCAGTTGCGCCCCGCTGTGGCCATGAGGAGCCGCCCCCACGAAACCCCAGGCGTGCCCGACATTCCAAACTCCCCCCTCTTCCCCGCTGCTTCCTCTTCCCGCGCCACCGAGGAAAATAGACGCCAATGCAGCAGGAGCTCGACCACAAGAAATCTTCCACAAGAAACCCAACCCTGAGATCCCAGGACGCCCATTGATTTGTGGTTCTCGGAATGTCACGCTCACCAGAGCAAAAAACACCTAAACCTAAGGAACTCAGGGCACCCTGGAGGCAAGCAGGGTGTCTCTTGGCCTGTGTCTCCGCTGTGCCCCATCTGACGTCGAAAAGTTTCGACATGCGGGCGGTCCCGAAAAATCCCGACTCCATCCGCGGGCCCAAATTCCTGTCCCAGATCGTGAGTTGTCCGGCCCCTGGGACTGAGCACGGCCCCTGGAGACAGAAGACGGGGAACGAAACTCCCACCCGATGTTCGTCAAGACTTCTGTCTTTGAAAGCTCCCTGGTGCTCTGAACCAGCGAGGTCTGAACAACGCTGCGCAAAGGCCGTCGGCAGGCAACGGTTGCCGGCAGAACGACGCGCGGGGTCAGCAGGGGATCAGTAGTGCCAGGGCGTGGTGTCGGCTGGATATCTGGGATATCTCAAATCTCAATTCAGCCCTGCGGCTCCTCCAGGACGCGAACGATGCCGTCCGAGCCGTCCACCTCCACCTTGGCGGCGCGCACAAAGGGGCAGGGGGAGGGGGGGAAGGCTTCTTGGAAGTCCACGTCTTGAAGGCGCCCGTCCCACATCCACAGAAAAAAAGGCCCGCGCCTTCTAGGGAGCAGGGTGCTTGAGACGCCTTCCCCCTCTCCCCCTACTACCACCCCCCTCTGCGCGTGGCTGACTATAGAAGAAGACAACAAACAAACAACTGCAAGCATAATCGGGGAGACGTAAGACCCGGGTACGGGGGACTCGGAAATCCCCGACGAGGTCGTCAAAAAAATGACGAGGCCGAGCCTGCATTTTGACGAGGCCTCCCGCTGCAGACATCCCACGAAACTCCTCCTCGTCAAAATCCGAGTCGCGGTCGTCAAAAAACGATGGCGAACCCGAGTCCCGGCAAACCCGGGTCTTACGCTCCCCCGACATAAGCTTTTGGCGCTCCGCGCGGATTTCTTGGATCTGCGCTGGGCCCCCCTCCCTGGCGCGCGGAACGGCGCCACGGGCGGCGCGGAGGCGCCGCCGGGGGGCCCCAGCGGCCGATCCAAAAGATCCGCCTGGGAGCGCCAGCAGTTTATTGAAGGGGAACTGGAACACACAAATAAATACACACAAATAAAACTATCCCCCATATTTTCCCATATTTTCTGGGTTTTTGTCTTCCCCACCACTTCCCATATTTTTGCATATTTTCCTGGGAGTCGACGATTAATTGTGTCTGTGTGTTTCTTTCCCTCCTGATTTATGTCTGTGGCGTTTTTCTTCGATCTGCGCGAGGCCGACCACCAGCTGCCCGTCCTTGAACTTTTCCAGTACGTCGTCGATGCCCGCCACGCACGGTTTGCCGAACTCGCGCGCGACCAGCGCGCCGTGCTGCAGCGCCCCGCCCACCTCCAGCAAGATCGCGGCCGCCGGCACGAACAGCGGCGTCCAGCCTGGAGGGGCCCAGGGACACACAAGTACATCCACGCAAATCCCAGGACCCCCCCTCATATACATATATATATATATATATACACATGGATGTATGCTGGAGGTTTGTCTATCCTCCAACACTTCCCATCGTCTCCCATCGCTTCCTGGGAATCGAAGACTAAGCATGCCCATGTGTTCTTCCCCTCCCGACAACCGGGGTCCGTGGCCCGTGCGACCAGCACCTCGCCGGTGAGCAGCGGCTTCTCGCGCGGGTCGCGCAGCACCTTCACGCGCCCCCGGGCCACTCCCGCGGACACCGGGTGCCCGGCCACCTCGCCCTCCTTGGCGTCGCGGACCCGGCACCGCACGACGCGACCGCGGGAGGTGATGACCTTCGGCCAGGACCTGACGTGGGCGTTCCGGTCCTGGTGGGCCCTGCGCTCCAGGACCAGAGCCCTGACGTCGACGAGGCCGTCCTGGTGCACCCGCCGCAGGTCGTCCAGGGTCAGCCACCAGGCGTCCCTCGCCTCGTCCAGGCGGCCGTCGCGCACGAGCCCGGCGGCCTGTGCGAGCACGTCCTGCCTGCAGAGGTCGACGAACTTGATGAGGAGGTACTTCGGAGACTCCTCCTTGTTCTCACCCTTCACCTTGGCACTCGTCCGCAGTGAATCACTTCATCACAATAGTATGTAATAGTAGCAGCCCAGACTCCCATGCATTGAGGTCTTGGCTGAGGGAATCGCAAAGTCTTCCCTGCTGCATTGTAACTGAGAACTGCTTGTTGCCTCAAGTGCCTCCATCTCGGCGACGAAAGGTTCAACATTAGCATATATGTGAGGAAATACCAGTACATACCAGTACGGCCACTGATGTTCCACTCCGTGTATACCATAACATATGAGAAGTCAGTCTTGACGTAGCTCATGTTTGATTCCAAGAGAAAAAACTGCCGTTGGCTGCCTCTTCAGCCGATAAACCATATGAAGCTGCCCTCGCACACAATGCAAGGGGCTAGTATACAGTGGAAATACGAAGAAATTAGATCCCACCATATCACAACAATAAATAATCACAGCGCTGGCCGAGGGGGAGCACGCTCCGTCGCGATTAAGGCTTCGTGGCCACCAGTAATGGCCCTACGGGTCCTCCCCCTCGGCAATATTCAATAACTGCATTCAGCATCCCAAATGCATCCAGCAAAAACCAGACTCACCGCCACCCCTACGCGCTGTTAACCTGCGAGCGACCTAAGTCCAACAGGCAGGTGCACCTGAGGGGTGGGCAGTGGCTGTGCGACTAAACCAGGTAGTTAGCCTGGATTTTGCGTCCTAACGCCCTCCACAAAGAGCGGCAGTAAATTGCTGAAACCTTCTTGTCGGTGCTGTGGAGCCACAGAGAGTACATGCCAATTCCTTGTCTTTTTGGTCAGCTCGATAATGTGTGAGAACGTGACAACGATTACCAGGAATCTTGGTCCTCTTGTTATGCTCGTCTACCATGATTACGTAGTCAGCAGCGGTGCGCTTTTTGCCAAGACGTGGGCCACGTGGAGCTCCAGGCTGACAAAGAAGGCGCGACCATGAGCCAAGCTGGCTCACTTTTGACTCGAGATTGCAATTGACGCACACCAATTTGGCAGGTTGATCCTTGTTCGGCCCCTTAAGAGGGGCAAGTACATGATATCCCTGTTGGCGTGCTTCGCGATTATGCAGAAGTCTCTTCTGCTCGTTCTGAAGATCTCGGCCTGTGAGGCCTTCCCAATCTTTCTTCTCCTCGTCCGTCCAAGTGATGACAGCTCGCATGACCTTGACAGTAGTGACATGATGAGCCCGTCGCACCACAGAGACATGTTCAGCTGCAGCAGCGGCCCTTGCAACAATGTCGCTTGGCCTCACCGTAGTTGACAGGTTCTCAGCTAGCTTCGGAGGTTGCCATATGGGCTTGGGTACCGAGCCCCAAGCTGGCTGCACTCGAATGCCTTTTGTCTTCTCCGTCGTCGCCAAAGCCACCGCGTATAATACTCGCATCGTGTGTTGGTGATTCACAAACACTGGCCTGCACTTGAAGCCAGGCACTGCACGTATACCCAGTGGTGATAAGGCTCGTATTTCTTTAAAACATTCACGTGGTCCCAATTTGCACTTGCACAAGTAGCCCATCCGAGTAGCAGCAGTCGAGAAATATCTCGCCATACGCTCAAGAGTAGCTGTCTGTGGATCTTCCGCCGGCGTGACCAACGGTAAACCAGTACAGATAGTGAAATCAATCGCCAACTCCGCCCAAGAAACAGACATGGGTGCCATTGGTGTATCGTCAGCAGCCCATCGAAGTTGCGAGAAGTACCAAACAATCGCAGGAAATAAAGCTTGTTGGTAATACCAATCCTTGCCTGTCAGTATCTCTGGGATCTGTGGTTCGAATTCCCACTCTGGCAGGTTCACCTCGACAGGGTCCCAGGGGTAGCCAGGGAAGGCCATCTTCGGACTCCACGTCAGGGGATTGGTAGTCATCTGTTCCAAAGCTGGTCGTACCCACGAGGAGCTTGACGACGCTGATGTTGCAAGGTCCACAGCCAGTCGTGATGATGAGGCTGGGGTGGTTGACGGTGGCGTATCTGTAGTACATGATGTTGCCGTAGATCGCGATGTTTTGCTCCTCAAGCGGCGCATTGGTGTTCGTGCAGGTTGGCCTTCACTTTGACAGCTGCGAGGGGTGTCCGCAACTGCCGTCGTAGCTGCAGCCGTCGGGCTGGCAGATTGACCATCCTGTGTTGGGGTCGGTGCGACAGTCGTTGGCGATGCCTCGGTCCTGAGGACCTGGGGCGTTGCAGCTCGCTGATCACTTGCTTCATTCGTACCGTCATCGTCCATGCCGAGATGAGCCCAAGGATCCTCAGCATCCTCATCTGGCCATTGGGGGTCTGCACCTTCCAGTTCGGCATTTTGCATAGCTTGGGCTTGAGCGCATCGGGCATGATGAGTGTCTCTTCCCATAGCTTGAAGTTGCTTTGCACGTGCAGCCAAGACCATCGTGGCTGTGTGCTGTAAAGTATAACATAGATGCTGATCTCGCAGGTGTTGGTGTCTGATATCCACTGGCACACTATGTTGGCGTGCAGCTTGGACAGCACTTTCATCTGCTCGTCTGTTTGCCTCCCAGTCAGGTAGATCTTCTGGGGGTATTTCGTCTTTTTTGCGATGTGCTTTGATCTTTTCAATGCGGAAACAATCTGAACCTTTTGCAGCAACTCCTGTGGCGATAGCTGTCCACAGGTCACGATGCTGTCGAGGCTTGATAGTCACTCCATTCAGGATGGCAGTAAAGTTTCTGACGCAGTATCCGCTGTCGGTGAGGTAGAGCTGCTTGGTCCATGCCCAGGATACAAAGTGTCGAAGGGCACTGACTTCAGCTCTCTGAGCTCCTTGCGAGACGCTCCTCAGCGGGACAGAAACATTGCAGGGGTGGTTCTCTCCATAGTAGAGACCGTAGCCAGATCTTCGTAGGCGCAGGTCTGACGCCTGCCCAGGGCAGGCACCATCCCCCGCCACCACTAAGTATCCTTCCTTCTCGCGTGTGTTGCTGTGCTCGTCTTGACCTGGCTCGTAATTCCCATCTGCATGGTGAGGGGGTGGTGGAAGGTCAGGTTCATCAGGCAGCAGCTCCGATGCGAAATTGTCATACACTGGTCTGTCTGAGCAGAGGCCACATTGTCGGTAACATACAGGTAAAGCCAGAATCTCCTCCTTCGTGTAGTGGTCGAGCAACGGTTGGCGCTGCTGGGCCCACTGCGGGCAATGCAAGAGGATGTGATCCATATCTTCATCAGGGTCTCCACAAAAAGGGCAGAATCGATGATCTCGTTGGCCCGTGATGTGGTGAAGCCTATGACCTGTGACAGTTGCTCCTTGGAGCAAGGCTCGCAGAAAGGGTACTTGTTCGCGTGTCAGCTTCGGCACTGCAACATCCACTGCATCCAGTAGGAGTGGGGGCTGAGGCTTAACACTGTCAGGATTGTCCTCTTCGTCATCATCTGGTCGTAGGCTGCGTTCAGCTCGCCTGAGGATGGCCGTTGTAATATGATAATTTATGCCGTGCTTGGAGCCGAGCATATCTTTTCTCTCCAGCAACTGAGGGTCAGTAGACCACACCCAGCGACGCAGGTCTTCTCGAAGTACATGCTGCCACCAGCCCTCAGGATGCTTTGCCAAGTAGACCAGCTGACCATTGGCACGCTTGAAGTGATCAAACTCGGGCCAGGTCCAGCCAAGGTCGCTCAGAACTGTAAAAATGCGGCCAATAGGCCCACCATCTGTCGCACTGGTCGAACGAGTCCTCATTATCTCCCAGCTGGCTTTAGCTCGGGGTAGGAGGCGCGGTGCCGCTGGGCTTGTGAAGAGTCGCCGAACTACTTGCAGAGGTTGTGCCGTCGATATCTGAATCGGATCGAGGCAATGTCCTTTGGTAATCAAGGTGAAGGTGATGGCAGGTGAGCGGTACGCACGCCCCTTGTGCCATAGGGACTTCATCACTGAGCTTCTGAAATTCAGATGGTTGTGTCTGGGTAGTCGTCGAAACTCCAAGCCTGGTGCCAGTCTAGGGAGTGCAGCCATCGCCAGTAGCTGCTGCTTCCCTCGAAGTCCCACAGGGGCTCCTCCAGCACGGCGTGATACTCGGTATGCAGATTCATAACGTAGTCGGCGTTGTCGAGCAGGACAAGAGCCCAGAGAGACAATCTCACCGCCTACCAGTATGAAATGTCTGGTCATGATAGGTGTGTGTCCAGCCGCACGCAGGGCGAAGGACAGCTCATTCTCGGCTTTGTGCGTTGTTGCATAATGCTTTGTCTTGCTGAGGTTCGTGACTGTGCCACTGAGGTTGTCAAACTCCAAGGATATACTTGTGGCACGTGTTGTTCTCGCAGCATGACCTGGTCCTTCGGCGCGAAAGTTACCATCATCTATGAAACTGCTGACTCTGACGGGGCCCTCGGCTTCCAGAGCTTTGGACCAGACCGACATGAGGGCAAGCGCCTGCTGCAAGGACCAAGAGTCTCCTTGAACAAATCCATTCTTTCTGATAGTTGGAGGGCCCACAGCTTGTGCCACCTTCCAATGTGTCGATAGCGCAGCATAAAAACTCTTCTCCGCAGCGAGGACTCCTGCAGGGCAACCTAGGGCTTGCATGAGTCGATTGCCGATGTCATGTTCCAGTAAATCGAAGAACTTCTTCCTGTCAGCGGTGCACCCCGATAACGACGTACCCGTGAGTTGGCTGTGTTCAATTTCCATATTCAGCTCCCATGCGATGGATTGATAATGGTGTCCAGATCTTGCACCTGCAGCTCCATGATGGAGCCACTCTTCTCTCCAGGGAGACATCTGCTGGAAACGGTCGCCTGTCAAGGCAGTGTATATTGGCGAAAGGTTGGTGATCGGCCGTGTTTGATCCACCGTGGCCAGCCACACTTCATCAGGTTCACAGGTTGAGGCAAGGTCTGCCTCTGGATCCCACTTGGGTAAACAGGACGTGATACCCGTGCACATAACGTCTGGCCAGGGAAGCCACTGATCTTCAATACCTTTTAGGGCAACGGCTATCAGCTCGCAGATGGTTAGAGGTAGCAATCGAAGTTCGCCCACTCGCCAGCCATCGGCTGCCACAGCACGTGTTATTCCCATTTTTCTGAATTGCTTGAGCAGCCTGGAGCCTGTGATGTTGGTGATGGTACACTGGCATGAAGGGATATAGCGTCCAAAGCGCGAAAAGAACTTATCCCAGTCACAGAGCTCAGGTTTATTGAAAATCGTACTCCAGTAGCGGTTGATGTGGTCCAAGATGTCAGTGCGCTTGGTGACTATCTCATTGGATTGATAACCTCGTACCGCATGGAGTGAATGATATTGGCGCTGCTTGATCCAAGAGTACATGTCACGGCCCCCTTCATAGCGAAGTGATGTTCGTAGACGTTTGCGCCATTCAGCTATACGTGTAAGCTTTCTTTCTTTCACAATGACTGCATGCTTCTCGTCTAGTAAGGACTGCCAAGATGCAATCTCGGTCAGTGTCGGAAGCCTGCCTGGTAGATTGGTAGATTGCCCAGTCCTGCTAGAAGACGTGGTATGTTGGTACGCAGCTTGTCCCACAGGCGCTGCGCACTCAGTTGGTGTTCTAGTGAAGGTCCCTCTGTACCCTGGAAGTAGATGTGAATCTTCTTTGAGAGCTCAGCGAGACGGTGGAGTACATTCTCGATCTGCCGCAACTTAGATGTTGTGGGACCTTCTCGAGCAGGATCTTTTGCCGACGTCGGAGCAACCACAGATTGCTCCACAAGCGCTGGCATCTTGCTTCGTCCATGGTACCTGAAATCAAACTTGATGTTGGTATGCGCCAGACGTTTCTCCAAGAAATCTTCACCCATCCGTCCGATGAGCGACCGTGCTGTGTTTGCATCTTCTTTGTCCAGTGCCTCGTAGAATCTGTCATAATACTCATCCACACATTCTTTGCCCAACGCTTCGTTTTCCTCCTCAGGGATCTTCTTGACTAGCTCCACGGGGTAGGCCACAGGCATACGATACCTCTGCCAGACCTCTGCGAGCTTGGTGATATTCAGCGTGAGCTCCAGACCTAGGTGGCACTTGATCCCCAGGTCCCTTCGCAAGCGAAAAGAGTGGATGGAATCTCGAGCTGATGTACTGACCAGAATAAGATCGGGCCGCGTAACATGATTGCCTGCCGAATATTTGTCCCACCGCGGGTCCAGGCCGTAAGTAGGTTCTCCTCCATACATAGATCCAACATCGTGCCATCTCCCTGTTGCCAGGGCCGCTGATAGCGTGGATGTCTGTGCAATTGTCGTATTCGAGTCCACACGCAGGATCACCGGCTGGTCGCCCAAGGCCTCGGCATCCTCGAATACAAACTGAAATAGTCTGTCGTTGCGTGTACGCACCAATGGGTCATTACCCGATTCATTATACATGGAAATGATGTGAACAGGAGTGGCCCCCAGCATCACAAGTTGCCTTTGCCAGCGGGCGCTGAGATACAACTCCTTGGCTGCACCGTGCTTGCGTCCACTTTCCATTGCAGTAATAGTAGTTCTTGAGAAGATCGCAACTCCACCCTGGGTGCTGCGATGAAACTTTTCTCCGTGACATCGTTGCTGACGAACAGGGTGACCAAAACAAACATTGTATCCATATGCAGCACAGGCTTTAGTACAAGCCATCTGCTCCTTCAAATTGAGGCGTGTCTCCTGCAGCGCAAGGACATCTGCATTCATGAGAGCAAGGCGGCCAGAAAAAGTATTCCAGCTAGTAATATTTGCAGAAAGGATAGTGGCGAGACCTGCAGGACCACAGGGAGACACTGCAGGAGCTTGTTTCCCTCGCAGACGACGCGAGGGCATCATCACTGATCCATGTCAGTTGCAGCACTGTCTTTGAGCCTTTTGCTCAGACGTTCAATCTCCTCGTTTTGCTCCTTCTCAGCACTGGATAAGCCTGCATCTGAGCGGAGAACTTCGAAGCACTTTGCAATACCTTGCCCCTGAAGCTGAAGTTGGGCATAGATCTTTTGATTGTTTGCAGCCACCGCCTGTCCAATTGCCTCCAGCAAGAACTTTTGAAATTCAGGGGACATCGCGGAGCCTGGCGTGGATGGTGGTGTGTCTGAAGGTGGTGGAGTTTGCTGCGCTGGCTGACCTTGCTGCGGAGCAGGTGCGGGTCGCGTGAGTTGTGCGGCCAAACTCGTCTTCTTGGTTGCCGGTGTCGTCTTGGGCTCAGGTTTGTCATACTTCGTGACCATCTCCGCCCAGGATGTTGCTGATGGGGCTGGTGTAACACTCTTCTGCTTGACCATGTTGATTGTTGCCTTTACTCCTGCCAGGGTGAGGTCCGAGACCGATGGGGGGCCTTCAGCTCGACAACGCACAACTGGCGTAGCTTTAGCACCTCTTCCCTTGGAACGTATATGAACAAACTCTGCTTTCCACCCCAGCTGAGTGGATATCTCTTGCACGATCTGCTTCCCTTCGACGAGCTTCGGTAACGGTGAAATCTCGTAGAGGGTCGGCGCTGGTGGGGTTCTCGACTGCAACTTCTGCCAGGCTGGGCCTGACTTCGACTTCTCAACTCTGAAGAACAATGCACCATTTTGTTTGTAGCCTAGCCCGCGGCCGCCCTCTAGGTCCGTGACCATGTTGAGCGCATCCGTCAGGGAGATGGCCTTCGGGAACGGGACAAAATCTTCTGTATTCTTTTCTTCGTCCAGGGCCGCGTTGATAATACCTCCTGCTCGTGAGCGTTGGAAGATAACACCATCTGGTCCTGACGCAGCTCGTAGTTGCACCGCACGTGTGGCTGATACTTTGAACAATCCCGATACCACACGATGACCTGGAAGATCTTCATTGAAGACTCTGCCGCTCCAGCAGCGCAGGTCCATATCTGCGCCTCCGTTGCACTTTGCCTTCACGATACTTGCCAATTCAGCATCCAGCACTCTCCATGGCGGGATAGTGTCGAACTTTCTTTTTTGACCTGATGTTTCTGCCCGCTGATCTCGGGCTGACGTTGCTTGTCTGTGTAGTTTGAGGAGCTCTTTGAAGATCTTCTCGGGAGCATGCTCTTCGAGGATCGCGACATTCATGAGCTCATCCTGTGTACATGTAATAGCAGTCGGCACTCTGGTTGGTTCAACTTTCTGTTGAGTCGATCCTCCATATTGCCAAACGTACAGTTGCTTGATATGGCGTCTCTCTTCGTATATGAGCGGCACGTCTAAGAGAGTAATACATGGAGCCAGACCCCTCTGGCCACACAGCATGAACAATTCTTTCGAGACCTGACTGGGTGATTGTGCCAAGACGAATCCAAAAGCATCAGCAGGATCTGGTCTTTGCCAAAATGAGTCCAAACGCGCGAGCTCAAGGAACTCGTCCGTTGTGACAAGGTGTACTGCTTTCATACTCTCGTAATCCTGCGGAAGGCCACGCCTCACAGGGATGTCCCAGTCAGCAGGGTCGAGGCTCGCTTGGTACTGCCAGCCTGTCTTTGACTTTGGGGGCATAGCCTTCTGCTTCTTGGGCGGTTGCGGCTTGGCTGGCGGGGTGGCTCCGTAAGGCTTCTCCTCCAACCATACCTTCATCGCATCTGCTATCTCCTTGGCGGGCATGGCTGCTATCTTGGCCATTCGCTCTGTGGAGAACTTCTTCAAGTGATCATACATCTTTTGAGGTTTGTCCACACTTGCTGCCTCCAGCATAGTAAGGACTCGGCTTTTGTCCATCTGCGGCGTGTGCTTTGCCTTGAGTGCTCGTGCTAATGCCTGCTTCATCGACGGTCCATTGCCATGTAAAGCATGCATCTCTTTATTGTGGTCTCGGTGACGCCGACCCCAATCATATGGAAAGAAACTCGTGATCCATACCCTCGCATGATATCCATCTAGATATAACCCACCATACAATACCCAGGTATTGTCGGTACATTCCCATGAGATGCAGATGTTGAGCCCCTTCATCTGCGTGAAACTGAAATCAAAATTGTCGTTCTTCGCGTCCTTGTCATCGGACGTCACCACAACCGAGAACTGAAGCACCCAGTTCAGAAGGTTGAACCGTGTCACCTGCTCGTGGGACACCATGTGGCGGTACTTCGGAGACTCCCGGTACCGGAACATCGAGTGGTAGGCCCGCACGTTCGCCTCGAACGCCCCCGCGTCCCCGCCGTTGGCTGAGAGCCACGCCGACAGCCTGGCCACCGCGGCCTCCCGCTTCGCGCCCGCGGCCGCGGCCAAGCTGCGCGGGCGCATGGACCGCTCCAGCCCGCAGATAGTTGGGGGGCGGAAAGATACGGATACGTGTTGTCCCTGGACCTCTCTTGGGGTGCGTTCTGACCAGAATTTCGAGGCGAATCCAGCGGTGACAACGAGGATTCCCCAGGAGGACCAGGAAAGGCCAAAAACGACGGGGGACAACACGTATCCGTATCTTTTTCTCCCCCGAGATAGACACCACCTGTTCCAACAGCATGTCGGGCGCCTCTCTGTAGCGGGGGGAGCTGATGTCCAGCTCGCCGACGCCGCGGTGCCCGAACTGGTCGAGCACGGCCTCCCAGACCTCCTGGGCCTTCGTCGGCAGACCCTCGCCGCCGCTGCCCACGCTGGCCAGCAGGCTGGCGACGTCTGGGCTCTGGCCGGCCTCCTCCAGGGCATCGGCCATGTCCTCCAGCAACAGGCTGAGGTCCGTGGTCACGAACGTCGTGCCCTGCGAGACGTCGTCCAGCAGCGCCCTCACGTCCCCTGGTGCCTTTCGAAGGGTAAGCATGATCGGCCCACGGACCCGGAAAGTAAAATACAAATGTGCGGCATGGCAACGTCGCCCCAAGTGGAATGATGGCATACTCCGCCATCGAGCCCCTCCCCCTCGCCCTCGTGGCAGCCTCGCCCTTCCCTCGTGTCATGAAATTGCCGATGGGCTCAATCCAGCCAATGACCCGCACCGCCCTCGTGGTCATGTTTTTTTTCCGCGCCGGTGCGGCCTTCGGCAGACACCTGACAATTTCCAAGACACGCGATTGGGCGACGGGCAACTGCAATGCTGCGTGTCTGGATCTGGATGCACCATGCCTGGGGCTGTGTTGTGCTGCGCCATGCTGCATCCCACCAGCCATTTGGGCGACAGGTGGAGTAAGGGTGACCTCCATTTTCTTCCACAACCCCTCCCAGTGGGAGGGCCAAAGTTTGACACCCCTCACAAGGATCGTGGCCCCCGAGGGGGAGGAGGGGGGGAGGGGCAGACATCGAGGACCCCCCCTCTCTTGACCGAGCGCCTTCAAGATGGCACCAAGAGGCCCCCAAGCTCCAAGAGCGCCCAAGAGGCCTCCGAGAGGCACCCAAGAGGCCCCCGAGCGACCTCAGATAGTCCAAAATGACCTCCAAGACGGCTCAAGATAGCCAAAGCTGGCTCAAGATGGCTCCCGAGATGCTCCAAGAAGCCCCAAAGCAGTTCCAAGACGGCTCGAGATAACCACAAAACCTCCCCAGGAGGCCGCCAAGAAGCCAAGAACCTCTCTTCTCGTCCATATCATTCGTCCTAGTCCTCGTCATTTTCCTTTTCCTCCTCCTCCTCCCCCTCATCCTCTTACTCCTCCTCCGCCGCCTCCTCCTTGTTCTCATCCTCCCCCTCGTCCTCCTCCTTCTCCTCCTCCTCCTCCTCCTCCTCCTCCTCTCCCTCCTCCTCTTCCTCCTCCTCCGCCTCCTCCTCCTCCTCCTCCTCCTCCTCCTCCCCCTCCCTTTCCTCCTCCTCCTCCTCCTCACTCTCTTAGTCCTCGTCTTCATTATCGTCCTCCTTTGCCTCGCCTTGCTCCTCTTGCCTCCTTCTCCTCCTCCTCCTCCTCCTCCTCCTCCTCCTCCTCCTCCTCGCCCTCCCCCACGCGGGCCAGGAGATGGCCCCAGCACGCCGTCCAGGACGCCCGTCCTCGGTGTTTGACTCCTCTTTCCCCCCGTCAGCTCTCATGGGCATCGTTTCTGCATGTGCTGTGGGGATGCATTTTGGTGCGCGGGCGCGCGAAGTCGAGTCGAACGCCGTGCAAGCAAAGGCGGGCCGCGCCGAAGCAAGGGGAACACGCGAAGCGTTCAGAATTGCGATGTGCCATGCCGCGATTGTGCTCTATAGTGTTGTGGATCGAGTCCTCCTTCGCATCCGAGTCCTGACCAAACTGGTCTGGATCTTAAGCTCGAGATGCCTGAGCACATAGGAGCTGCTCCAAAGCTAGTTGAAGTGGAAACGTGCGGGACATTCAATCAACTCGACCTCAAAATCCGACTCAGCTCCGAAAAGGAACGACACGACACGTGGCACAGGCACACGGACGCGCCACAGATGTGCCAGAGGCGCAGTAGGGGATGCGCCAGGGGGCGTATCAGGGGACGTCTCAGGGGACGTACCCTGGACGTGTCAGGGACCGGCCACGGGATGTGCCAAGGCGCGTGCCTTGGGGCGGACAGAGGACGTTATGCCAAGGGACGTTGCAAGGGGCGCGCCGCGGAACGGGCAGGGAAACGCCTGGGGACGAGCCAGGAAACGCGACAGAGGACGAGCCAGGGAACGTGCCACGTCGAGTGGCGTGCTAGCGGTCGTGCAAGGCACGTCACGCTAGAGCGTCGCAAGGAACGCGCCAGGGGACGCGCCAGCGCGCCAGTGGACGCCCCACGGGCGGGCGAGGTTGGACTGCGATGCACCCTACTGCGACCAGCGTTTCGCTCGAGAGATCCTCAACAACTCCTCATGTTAGATATCCGCCTGGGCGACCTGAACCCGTGAAAACAAGCGTCTCGCTCGAGACATCCTCAACACATCCACATGCTAGATATTCGCCTGGGCGACCTGGACACGTGAAACCAAGCGTCTCGTTCAAGACGTGCTCAACACCTGCTCATGCTAGACATCTGCTTGGGCGACCTGGACACGTGAAAACAAGCGCCTCGCTCGAGACATCCGCAACACATCTTCATGCTAGACATCTGCCTGGGCGACCTGGACGGGTGAAAACAATCGTCTCGCTCGAGACATCCTCAACACATCCTCATGCGAGCCATCTGACAGAGTAACCTGGGCGAGTGAATCCAAGCGGTTCGGTCGAGACGTCCTCAACACATCTTCTTGTCAGACACTTGCCTGGACGTCCTGGTCACGTTAAACTCAAGCGTTTCGCTCAAGACGGTCTCGACACCTCCTCATGCTAGACATCCGCCTGGGCGACCTGGACACGTGAAAGCAAGCGTTTCGCTGGAGACATCCTCAACACATCCTCGTGTTAGACATCCGCCTGGGCGACCTGGGCAAGTGAAAACAAGCGTCTCGCGCGTCTCGCTCGAGACGTTCTCAACACTTGTTCATGCTAGACATTTGCCTGGGCAACCTGGACGCGTGAAACCAAGCGTCTCGCTCGAGACATCCGCAACAAATTCTCATGCTGGACATTTGCCTGGGCGACCTGGACGCGTGAAAACAAGCGTCTCGCTCGAGAAATCCTCAAGACCTGGGCACGTGAAGGCAAGCATTTCACCTGAGACATTCTCTGAATTCTGGCCCCCCGGAAAAGACTAATCGATAACAATAAACAAGCAGTTCTCTCGAGACATCCTAGCCAATTCTGCAAAACAAACGGTACGCTCGAATCATCCGAAACAAACTTACTTGACAAACTGTTTAATCGATCGAAATTTAAACCATCAATGTTTCGCTCGGGACATCCTCAACTTTTTAATTCGCCGGCCCTCTTCGACACCGTTATCTATTACATGATGATTTCGCCGGCCTCCTTCAAGTCGAGGCCGGGGGGTCAACCAACCAAAAGAGAACCCTGGGCCCCCGCCCTCTCCAAGAGAAACAACTGCACACGTAAACATGATTTCTCGGAGATCCGCCCCGGGCGCGCCGAGCGCACTAGGGGCGGGCGCCGATCCGATGCTTTCGCGCGGATCTCCCAGAAAACTTGAAACTGACTAAGTGTTCCTCTTCGAGCCCCACATCGGCGTGGAGAACATCGGGCCCCGCTTCGAGCCGCGCCGTCGATGCATAGGCGATGCGGCACTACTCTCCGACCCCACCTAAACTCCGATCCCATCTGGGAGGCCTAGAGGCCTTCTCGAACGCGCTGGCGACGCGACCCATCGCCAGGCCGCCGGCGACCACGGCGGGGATGCCGCCCTTCAGCACGCGCTCGGCCACGGCGGGCAGCACCGCGTCGAGCACGTCGAGCGTGTGGGCACCGTCGCCCGGGGCCCTCCTGAGGTGCGCGGCCAGCAGGTCGCTCGCGTGCATGGGCTCGAGAGCGCCCAGGAGCTCCCTGGTGCCACTCGGCTCCTGCCTGGTCTGGAAGGCACCCCTCGTCGAGCACTTGTAGCCCCTGAGCTGATGGAGCTCATGGGACAGCGTCCACATGGCCGCGTGCATGTCGTCCGCGCGCCGCATGGCATCTTCAGGACGCGACAGGTTCTTCCTGATGTTGGCAAGCGTCCCTGGGCAGTTCCAGGCCATCAGCAGCGGGAGCGGCACCAGCGAGGCGGACTTCGCCAAGGACCTGTCGTCCAGCTCGCGCAGCACCTTCGCAGTGGAGAAATCCATGAGCTCCATCTTGTCGGCCCAGCGGTCCTTCCTCTCGAATCCAATTAGGCGCAGGATGAAGGAGGCGTTCAGGTAGCAGGTCCCCGATTCGGGGACGACGATGAAGGGCCGGTTGTACATGGTCGCTCGCGCCGGCGACAGACCAAACGCTGTCTTCAGTATGGCGCCGAAGAAATGCTGCAAGAAGCTCATCCCCGTGACCGAGGCAAGCGAAGTGAACCCCTGGACGACCTGCATGACGTCCACCCAGAGCACCTCTGGTCCGCCCGGGGGCGACGTGATCTGCGGGGGGAGCTCGATGTGAGTGGTGATCGGCCGCGCCTGCAGCCAGAGCAACTGCCTTTTGCCGTCGAGAGCGAACTCGGTGTCAACGGGGTGGCCATAGAAGCTCTCGAGCTGGCTTAGGCCCGCGACGACGGTGGCAACCTCTTTCTCCGACAGCGTGAACTCGTCAGCAGGGCCTGCCTGCTCGTACACGCCACCGTCCCTGCCAAGCCAGACAGAACGCTCCTTCGTGCCGAGCTCCTTCTTTATCGTTGCTCCAGTGACCTTATTGACCAAATCCGCCGACCCTGTCGGCGTGTGGACCCCCTGTCGGCGTGCGCTCAATCGACGCATCCGTTGTCCTCTTTCCCTGCGTCTCCGTCGTCCCCTTTCCCTGCACCCTCCTCTTCGAGCCTGCAAGCGAGAAAATCGTAGCAACGCCGTACTGAAGTCGAAGGGAAGCCCCTTCCCTTTGATCCCTCCCCCGCCGAAGGGGAGGAGGGGGTCCCGGGGGGAGTCCCGGGGGGGTTCCGGCGGGGTCCCAAGGGGGGGGTGGGGGTCAAATACGCATCCGCCCCTGGGCATCCCGGAGCCCAAACATGATCGACCCACGAACCCGGAAAGGAATATAGAAATGAAAGGCATGGCAACGCTTCAAAAACACCTGATTGGGCGACGGGCAAATGCAATGCTGAGTGTATCGATCTCGATGTACCGTGCCGAGGGCTGTGCTGTGCTGCGACGTGCTGAATTGCGATGTGCCATGCCGATATTGTGCCCTACAGCGTTGTGGATCGAGTCCTCCTTTGCATCCGAGTCCTGACCAAACTGATCTGGATCTTAAGCTCGAGCTGCCTGAGCATATAGTTGCTGCCCCAGAGCTAATTAACAGGGGGGGCATGCCAGGAGGACGTGCCGCGGAACGTCCCAAGGGACGCGCCAAGGCGACGTGCCAGGGGACGTGCCGTGGGAACGCACCGCGGGACGTGCCAAGTGGACGCGCTACGGATAGTGCCAATGGACGTGCCACGGGACGTGCCAAGGGACGCGCCGCGCGACGTGCAAAGGGGACTCGCCACGGGACGCGCCACGGAACGTGCCAGGGAACGTGCATCGTTGCAATGCTGAGTGTATCGATCTTGATGTACTGTGCCGACGGCTGTGCTGTGCTGCGACGTGCTGAATTGCGATGTGCCATGCAGCGGTTGTGCTCTATAGTGTTGTGTGTCGAGTCCTCCTTTGCATCCGAGTCCTGACCGAACTGATATGGATCTGCGACCAGAGCACATAGTAGCTGCTCCAGAACTAATTGACAAGGGAACCTGCCAGGAGGACGCGACGCGGAACGTCCCAAAGGACGCAACAAACGGCGTGCCAAGGGACGTGCCACGGGGACGCACCGCGGGACGTGCAAAGTGGAAGCGCTACGGAACGTGCTAATGGACGTGCCACGGGACGTGCCATAGGACGCGCCGCGCCACGCGTCAAGGAGACTCGCCACGGGACGCGCCACGGAACGTGCCAAGGAACGTGCCATGTTGCAATGCTGAATGTATCGATCTTGATGTACTGTGCCGAAGGCTGTGTTGTGCTGCGTCGTGGTGAATTGCGATGTGCCACGCCGCGGTTGTGCTCTATAATGTTGCGGATCGTCCCAAGGTCATCTTTTAGTTGGTTTACCCCCCGGCCCCGACGAGAGGTGGGCCAGCGGAGTTGTTTCGCGATAAATTACGAAATAAAGCGTGCACTTGCAATTGAACAAATGCGTTGCTTGCGTGCCCGCTCGAGGAAAATGTTCCCCCCTCTCGGATCCTCGAGAAATAACGTGGTCCACAGACCACCGCTTTCCTTTGTAAAAGAGAGGGTGCGGCGCGTTTTTAGCAGAATCCCAAAAAAGCCAGGTCTGGAGCCCCAACCGCGACGCGGGAAAAACCGCGGTTGTGCTCTATAATGGTGTGGATCAAGTCCTCCTTTGTATCCGAATCCTGACCAAACTGATCTGGGTCTTAAGCTCGAGCTGCCTGAGCACATAGTTGCTGCCCCAGAACTCATTGACAGGGGGACATGCCAGGAGGACGTGCCGCGGAACGTCCCAAGGGACGCGCCAAGGGGACGCGCCTCGGAACGTGCTGGGGACAAGCGTGTCGCTCGAGACATCCTGCCCACATCCTCATGCTAAACATCCGCCTGGCCGACCTGGACACGTGCAAACAAGCGTTTCGCTCAACACATCCTAAACACATCCGAATGCTAGGCATCCGCCTGGGAGAACTGGACACGAGACATCCTCAACACATATTCATGTTCGACATCCGTTCCAGGCCCCCAGGAAGGTCACAGGAGGCCCATGTTAGATACCCCCTAGGTGGCCTGGACACGTGGCTCCAATTCGGCACTGTCATGTTAGATACCCCCCCCTGGGTGGCCTGGACATGTCAAAACACGTGGAACCAACTCTGGGCAACCATGTTAAATACACCCCTGGGTGGCCTGGACACGTTCAAACACGTGGTCCTTGCTCGGGACAGCCGTGTTAGATACCCCCCTTGGGTGGCCTGGACATGTAAAAACACGTGGTGCCAGCTCGGGACAACCGTGTTCGATACACCCCTGAATAGGCTGTACACGCAAAACAAAATTGTTCAAGCTCGGGACCCCCCCTGCGTGGCCTTGCTACGGTGAATTCGCGCTCCCGCCCGAGACATCCTCGCAATGTCTTCCCTGGAGAAGCCCCCAGAGCGCCACCACCCCTTCTCCAGAGCATGAAAACATTACTTTTCTGGGTTGGGATCCGTGTTCGGGTAGCGCTTTTCGGCCCCCCCTGCATTTCCTACAAATCGTCGTTGGGCCCCACGCGATGTTAGTTATCCCCCTGGGCGGCCTGGGCGCGTAAAAACACGTGGTTCCAGTCGGGGACGATCATGTTAGATACCCCCCTGGGCGGCCTGGGCACGTAAAAACACGTGGTTCCAGTCGGGGACGATCATGTTAGATACCCCCTTGGGCGGCCTGGACAAGTAAAAACACAAGGTTCCAGCACAGGGCCACCATGTTAGATACCCCTCTGGGTGGCGTGGACACTTGAAAACACGCCCCTCCTGTGTGGCCTGAACACGTACAAACACGTGCTTCCAGCTCGGGACCACCATGTTAGATACCCCCCCTGGGTGGCCTGGATACGTGAAAACACATGGCTCCAGCTCGGGACCACCATGTCAGATACCTCCTGGGTGGCCTTTTCTGTGAATGGGTCGGGTCTCCAGACCTCGCCATTTCTAATACATTCCGCACAAAACGCGCCGTACCCCGCTATTTATCGAGGATCCGAGATGGGGGGCAAACTTTCCTCGAGCGGGCGCGCGAAAAAATCATCTGTTCAACTGCAAATTCACGCTTTACCTCGTAATTGATCGCAAAACAATTCCGCCGGCCCACCTCCCGTCGGGGCCGAGGGGTAAACCAACATGATGGACCCACGAACCCGGAAAAGGATATAGAACCGCATGCATGGAAACGTTTTCACGACACCGTATTGGGCGACGGGCACTTCCACGAGACACCCCGCGAAACATTCCACGAGACACGGGCGACCGTTTTCAACGTTTTCCTGGAAACATTCCACGAGACACCCCGCGAAACAGTCCACGAGACACCCCACGAAACATTCCACGACGACAGGCAACCACTCAACCAAGGCGGTGTGGTCGTGCTGGGGAGTGGTCGTGCTGGGGTGTGGTCGTGCTGGGGGGTGGTCGTGCTGGGGGGTGGTCGTGCGTGTCGTGGGGGGGTGGTCGTGCTGGGGGTGGTCGTGCTGGGGCGTGGTCGTGCTGGGGCGTGGTCGTGCTGGGGCGTGATCGTGCTGGGGTGTGGTCGTGCTGTGGTGAGTTCGTGCTGGGGTGTGGTCGTGCTGGGTGATGGTCTTGCTGGGGTTGGGTCGTGCTGGGGTGGGGTAATGCTGGGGTGTGGTCGTGCTGGGGTTTGGTCGTGCTGGGGTGGAATCGTGCTGGGGTGGGGTCGTGCTGGGGTGTGGTCGTGCTGGGGTGTGGTCGTGCTGGGGTGTGGCACGAAAGAGTGGCCCGCACCCTGTGATTTATCGATTGGGATTTCAAAAACAAGCGTTTCGCCTGAGACATCCTCAAATTTTAATCCGCCGGCCCACCTCGACCTCGATATTTATCAAGGAAAGAATCCGCCGGCCCACCTCAAATGAGGCACCGGGGACAGGTTTACCTACTAAAAGAGAACCCTGGGCCTACGCCCTTCCCGGGAACTAAAAGAGAACCCTGGGCCGGAGAACCTCAAGACAGCCCAAGAATGCCCCAAGAGGGCCCTAAGCAGGCCCAAGAAGAGGACCACGAACCGACATTTCGAGCTTCCCGCCCCAAGAAGCCACCAGAAGGCCCCAAGAGCCCCTCGAGGAGCCCGAAGAGGCCCCCAATAGACTCCAAAAAGACCCAACAGAGGCCCCAACAGGCCCGAAAACATCCAAGAGGCCTTTCAACCACAACCCCAGCACGGTGGCGGGAAGGGCCGCAGGCCACTAAGCTCCCTATCTGTCTCTGCTACGACTCCCTTGGCCCACATGGGGAACATCTCCTTCGCCTTGTCCTGCTCCCTTCCGCCTTAATCCCCCCCCTCCTCCTCCTCGTATTCGCCGTCGTCGTCTTCAGGGTCGGCGGCACCGGCCGTAAGGCCTTAACAATAATAATCCGGCGAGCACTGCCCAGCTACCACAGTCTCACCAAGTCCCCAATTCGTTGTGATCGCTCCCCAATCGTAGCAATTGCTGATGGGGTCCAGGCTAAAGGCCACTCCGGCCACCAACGACGCGACCTGCCTCTGCACAACGACAGCGATCTTGGGAGTGAGATCGGAAATGCAGTGCTGGATCTTGTACACAAAGACGCGCTCGTCCAGGCAGGAGGCGAAGACATGCCCAACAGCCTCCGCGATGGCCTCCACCTCGGCCCGGACACCCAGGACCGTCTCGTAGCCCCCCGCAAAGCTCATGCCCGCCAGGTCCTCTTCCGGGCTGCTGCTGCGGACCGCGACGAAGCTGCCCTCGTCCAGACCCATCTCGCCTAGCGCCGCCGCCACCTTTGCCTTCTGGGCCTCGTCGAACGTCCCGCTCTTCGAGGCGGCCTTCGAGGCGGTGCACGCGTCGCGCAGGGTCCTCACGGAGGCCTGGTTGTCGGGGTCGTATGACTGGCAGGCGTCCAACATCTGTTGCCAGCATCGCTGCGTCTTCAGGCTGTCGAACCAACCTGAAAAGAAGGACGACGTCAAAATAAAACCACTCGGGACCTGTACTCCCTTCATGTTCGACATGCGCCACAGAGACATTCCTTTTCCGCCCACTTGACTAAGTAACGGCATATTTCCCGACTTACTCGGGTAGGGAACAACATCCGCCATGGTCAGTCGGTGAGCCAAGCGGCTCTATAGTTGGGTCGTTCCTCAGTAATGTATGCTATTGGCCATATGTTTGAGCCAAAACGGTTACTGGTGTTTGTCAAGACGTTGGCGGTCTAGGGTCTTCCCCCTCCCATATCGCCCCACGGACTTCTCATGGGGGGCCTCTTGCTACAATGTACTGAGGTGGCCACGGGAGCGCTGAAAGAGGCTCCAAGAAACACACAACTCATGCAGGAGTCCCAATCCCCGAACAAACACAAGGGCAAAACGAGGTATCCAGGAACATCTGGCGGACACTCCTGGATGTGGCGCCAACAAACAACAACTCAACACGATCGACCCACGACTCCAGAAAAAAAATGAGAATTGCGAGGCATGGAACCGTTTCTACGACCTCCCTTGCAAATCCAACTGGGCGACGCCACGGGGGCATGCCATGGGGACGCGCCGCGGGATGTGCCAAAACGATGCGCTAAGGAACCTGCCAGTGGACTGCTACGGGACGTGCCCAGGGACGCGCCGCGCGACGTGCCAGGGGACTCGCCACGGGAAGCGCCGCGGAACGTGCCAAGGAACGTGCCATGCGACGCGCCGGGGGACGTGCCAGGGAACGCGTCGGGGAACGCGCCACGGGACGTGGCACAGGACCGCGCTACCAAGAAAACCCTTTTTAACTACTCCAAACCAGCCTGGGAGCACGTGGGTCCTTGTCGCCCGTGAACGGAACAAACGTGAAAACATGAGGGTCCATGTCGCCCCTGAACGCAACAAGCGTGCAAACACGTGGGCCCCTTTCGCGCCAGAGCGGAACAAGCGTGAACACCCTTGTCGTCGACGGCTGGGCAGGGGTCGTCTGCGCTGGCGGACGCAGCTGACAAGGGCACCGTTGTCGCGAATTGGCCACCGTGCAAAAAGTGGAGGGGAGGGCGGAAGAGCGGGCGGCCGCGGGGGGCGGGAGGGGGAAAAGGGGCGCGGGCCGCTAATGGGGACAGGTCACGCCCAGAGAGGCTGGCTGCAGGTGCGGCGAGCCCCGCCGGCGGGGACAAAGGCGGCTGCTGCGCCGGGGTTCCAGCGGCGGCGGGGCCCAGCGCGGGCACCAGAACGAGTACAGCAAGACGGTGGCCACCGCCGAGGCGCACGAAGTGCCAGGCGACGGGCCGCTTGTCGCCCGGGTGGGTGCGCAAAAGTGCGGCGAGGGAGGAGCGCGTCCAGCAACATGCTGGGCCAGCGTGGGGTGGCGGGCGGCAAGACCAGGCCCGGGTCCCCAGCGTGGCGGCTGCAGGCAACAGCTCAGCGCCATTGCGGCGCGCGGGGGGGGGGGAGAGCGCGCGGGGAGGGGAAGAAGCGAACAGGGAAGAGGACGCCGCGCCTGCAGGGGACCCCGCACGCGGGGCGGCGACGCCGGGCCGCACCCGCGGCGGCAGGCTGCGCCGCGCGCAAGTGGGGCGGAGCGGCAGCGAGCTGTCGACCCGCCAAAGGGGCTCGCGAGAGGCCCCCGCTGCCCGGGTGGACAGGGTGGGCCAATCAACGGGCCACGGCGGCCGGCAGCAAATTGGGGACGGGGCGGCGTCCACTGTGGCCAAAACTGCGGCACGGCCGGCGGCCCGCGGTGTGGGGGGGCACCCAGTGCAGAGCAAAGGGAAATAATAATAGAACCCTTGGCAACAAAACGTGACGAATCGCGCACACGCGCGTGGTCACGCACGCGTGCGGGAATCCGTCGCAATCATAAGGTTTGTTGTGCGGATTTCAAAATCCATTGTGTCGAAGCGTATTGGAAGCAATGGTGTTGCAGCGCGGCTCGTTAAAAACAAATCTGCGCGCGCTGCTGTTCATTCTTCATAGAAACAAAAGGGTTTCCACATACTCATCAGATGCGACCGAGCGGGCCCGTCGCGCTCGCATGCCCGAATCAATCGAACGACCGTGCGTCCGTGCTGGGGGGGCACGATCACTATCAAATCATATAATGCAGGCCGCTCGCGCCCGTCGGCCGCGCACGCATGTCGAATTTTTTCACAAACCTATACCGCCGACGCGTGGGCACCATCATCGCCATCGGCGTGATCGTCATCGGCGCCGTCGGTGGCCCTGCCGTCTTCATCGTCATCGTCGTCACAGGCATCGCTGCTATCATCATCGTGTCTGCCGTTGTCGACGTCGCCATGGTACCGCGCCCGCCAGAGCCACCCGCGCGTCAACGCGGCCTGCGAGAAACGGTGGGAAGTGCTTAGCGCTCAGCGCCACCGCGGCCGCGTCGGTCGCGTCAAACTAGCTGGCCGCTCTATGCGCGAGCCTGCGCGCGCGAGCGCGGCCGCAGAGGTGCGCCAGCTAGCGCGAAGCAGTCATCGCAATCGCCGCCGCATGGGTTTTGCGAACGAAGCTGCCGGTGGGTGGGTGGGTGGGATGGTTGCGCGAACGCTGAAGCTGACAGCTTCAAGTTTGGCGGGGCAAATTGCAAAACATGGATCGCACCACGTCGCACATAGACTGCACCACGCAGGGGCTGCAGGGCCCGGTCGCCTGCGGGCGCCCGCGCGGCCTCGCACCCACAGCGTATGCCAAGAGGGCAAGCCTACAGAGGGCTTTACGTCTGCCCCGCACACACATATAAATATGTGTATGTACGTATGTCTATATATATACAAATGTAGTCATGTGTATGTTACACACATGTTTATGTGAATGTATACGTCGGCATCTACTGCAGGTCCGTGCCGTGTCGACCCTGGCGTTGGTTCCTGACACCGCGCTGGATCGTTCAACCTTGAACGATCGGCCGTCTCCGCAACGTCCGATCGTTCAACATCGACCGATTCTGGGCCGCCGTCGGCGTTCAACGTTGAACGTCGGCGGCGGGGTCGCCGCCGGTCGACACGACGCGAACCTACCGTACCAGACTGAACTGGTGCTTCGCGCCATTATGCTTGGCGTGCAGGCGGAAAGGCACGAAGGTCAAACTGCAAATTTAGTGATGCCTCCTTGTCACCTTTTTACAACCTCGTCGTCCGAATTATCATGCATCATCCTTCCCTCATGCTTCCTCTTCCTCTTCCTCATTCTCGCCCTGCCCTGGCTAACTATTGTTGCGGAGGTTCCACCCTAAATCCCACCAGCCCTCTGGGCGTCGGTGGTCTAGAGAGTTTCCTCTTCCAATTCCCTTCTTCCCCTTCGGGGAGGGGTTTACCCCTCCCCCTACCCCCTCCCCTGGACCTGGACGGAGGGTTCCGCGGGTCGTTGGGGCGTCCACGATGGCCCAAGATGGCCCAAGGCGGCTCCAAGAGCGAAAAGGCGATAAAGCACAAAACATTGATTTCCCCTAGGTTTTGGAAGTATTTTGGCCTCTTGGGGGGGCCCAAGAGGCGATTCGAGGCACTCTAGAGAGGCAGGGCTAATTGACGACCCCTCCTTCTTTGATAGATCGTCCAGGATGGCCCCCAAAGTGGCCCAAAGGCTCCCAGGAGCGCCCCAAGAGCGCCCCAAGAGAGCCCCAAGACGCCCCAAGAGGCGCCCAAGAGGCCTCCAAGAGACTCCCAAGAGATCCCCAAGAGGCCCCAAAGACGGCCCAAGGGGCCCCCAAGCTCGCCATTGTCCTCCTCTTCTCCTCCTCCTCTTTTTCTTCCTCCTCCCTCCTCCTCCTCCCTCTCCTCCTCCTCCTCCTCCTCCTCCTCCTCCTCCTCCTCCTCCTCCTCCTTCTCCTTCTCCTTCTCCTCCTCGTCCTCGCCCTCCCCCATCTCCTCTCCTCCCCCTCCTCCTCCTGCTCGTCCTCCTGCTCCTCCTCTTCCTCCTCCTACTCCGACGACGACGACTCCTCCTACATCCTCCCCTTCTTGGGGCATATGGCGGCTTACCCGCCCTTTGTTTTTCTGCATGCCTCCCGCTTCCCTCATCACCTCCACTCCCCTGGGGCTCATGTCTGGACGGGCTGGTGGGGATACGCGAAGCGTCTAGGATTATTTTTGCGGAGGCTCCTCCTTGGAGAGCCTCTCTGGGACCTTACGAAAGTGCTCAAAAGCTACTTGGGGCCTTCTGGAGGCCTCCAAGGTTCCGTCTGGGGGCATCTGGTGGTTTCCTCATGCAACCCTGCTTCCAATCGCGGTTACTCTGAACGACCAGGTCACGATTTGCAATGCTTCGGGGGGCGTCTTAGGGGCCATCTTGGGCCGTCATGGGGCTCTCTTCGGGCCATCTTGGGGCCCTCTTGGGACGTCTCTTTTTTCCCAGCGCCCGAGTTCGGTCCGACGGCATGGTTGATCAGAAGCATGCGAGCGCAGTCAAAAATGGGACGGCATAGAGCCGGCGCTCAACATAAGAGTGCAATGCGATTCATGGCAGGGTGATGGAAACGGTTGGAAAGGTAGTACAATGAGAATGGAGGAGAAGTGCAAAAGGGAACGTGCGCCTCGCGGGAAAATGCTTGCTGACAACCCCCCCCAAAAAAAACACGCTGACTTGTCAGCTTAGTCCGCCGCCCCCTGCGGTTGCTTGGGCGTGCCATGGTTGAAAAACTGTGAAGGGCGTTCGACTGTCGCGAGCCCTATACCACGATCTCCTGCTCCTCGGGGAGGTCGTAAAGGTCCAGAGTCATCTTCACCTTCCAGAAGCCGTGCGTCACTGTCGAGTCATACTTCGTGTAGCCGAACGCCCTGCAAGGACTGTCGTTATCTGCCTTTGTCAGGTTGGCTTCGAACCGGTGGTACAAAGGGTACTGACTGGGTTCCATGCAGCATTCACCACAATGCTTGGTCCCGAGAATGGACTTCGCAAGGCTGTAGTACTTCGCCTCTGCCGGATCCCTGCACTTGTTCTGGCAGCACGGCTCGGGATCCAGGGCCACGGTAGAAGGCTTTGTGTACTCAGTGACCTTGATCTCACCGATGACTGGTACGCGCTCGGTGGCGGTGTTGTTCACGACGGAGTAGCCCTGGCTTGTACAGGTTCCAACCTGCAGACTTTTCATGAATGCCTTGGCGTAGCTCGCGTACTTGCAGTCCAAATCG